CTTCTTTCCTTGCCCCGGTCATTCTGTTTGCGATGGTTAGCTTTAACCGGAAGCTTTCTTGAGAATCTGATGCTATTTTTGCATGCTTTTGCTTTAGATAGAATTTATAGCAGAAAAGGACATTGATGTACAATTCACATAGGATATAAGATTCTCATATTTACTTTTATCCTGAACTTCCCTGTGTGAGTTCAACTCAATCTGCTCTCTAATCGCCTTTGAACTTCAGCAAAGGACACAAGCGGTTTCGTTTATCCTGTTCACTAAAGTCACTTGTCACGTTTAGACATTTTTGGAACAGTGAAGAACTACCTGCTATAGACGACTCCACCCTTTGAAACTTTAGAAGCCCATTTCGCAATGTTTCCGCAAACCTTCCTGATGCTTTGTTGCATTACGTATATCTCAACATGTTGAAACTTACTGCAGGTTATGGGTAACTCGACTTGTTGTCTCCGGAATAATGGTACAGTGCCGAGAGACGAAAAGAACTACGCATATGAAGGACAATACACTAGAAACAATCAGGTGGAGGTGAGTGAGGTTCTTATCATGTTTTTGTGCAGTATCTGTCTTCTTGTTTGTATCTTGCCTTTCATTTGTTCTTTTATCTGGCAACACAGCTGTAAATGTGGCAACGATACTTTCAGTTCCAATATGTAAATCAGTCCTTTCCTCGCGATGAAACATCCACAAACTTCCTACCACATATCAGTGAAAGAGAGGTTCCTGAAGGTGACAGTTTCTTTCTGAATATTTAGACGTTTTACTCATCGGCAATTCATTGATGCTGTGTAATTTGTAGTGTCTGCCTGGAAATTTGGCTCAATCTGTAGTGATCTATTCGCTCCTGTCTTTCTTTTGCAAAACTTGGCTAACATTTCTGCTTAGGCAAGAAATTGTTGAAAACAGAAACTTTGATGGATCTTGGCACTTGGCTCACTAAGTGGTCACTCGTAGGAAAAAAAAGCCCTTTTGCACCTTGGGTCATGTCGTCACAAACATAGTCTTCTGCGAGCGTTTGATTGAGAAAATTCCACTCTTTATTGAAAATGCATTAAATTTTCACTGCATCATTCGGTGATGCTCAATATATTGATTAAATGATCATATGAAATGAAGTGAGGCTTACTTATATCTTAGTAAAACATTTTCTCTCTTTTATTGTAAAAATATCTTTTAGTTGGAGAAGAAGACCCATCCACTCATCCTACGGCTCGCCCAACATTTATGGAACGAAGTAAAAGTGAAATGAAATGTAAGTTAGCAAATTTTGGGTGATGTTCTAATCCCGTCCCTCTTTCTTCCTGATTCTTCTCCATTGATTTTCCTGCTTTCAAATGAGAAAATAAATATTTAGTAAAAGACAATCGTCGATCTTGCTACATGCTCGACGCTGTGGCTGGTGGTGGCAGTTTCCCTGGTGTGCTTCCGAAAAGTTTGCGGAAATCAAGTAGCTGTAGTACTATTTATATGGGTGTGTTTTTTCTACTTCTCAACTCTTTGTTTCTTTTTCTTCTGTGTAATTTGCGATTGTTTCAAATGTTTATCTTGAAATCATCCATCTAGACGATTCTACAATTAGTCAACCAAATTTGAAAAACACAATCAAGTGTATATCATTGGCTATATACTATCATATTGCCAATCGAAAGAATCGTTCGCATGAGAGATTGATGGAGATTTTTGAGGAGCGTCTTCATCCCATTACTGTAAGTATTCAAACCTATTTGTTTTTTTCTCCATTACACTTTGCTTTTTCAACTTAAAAAGCAGTTATCACATATCCCCTTCTTTTTGTTAGCTTCTAGAAAGCTATTATGCTAATTTTTCCTTTGATTTGGTACCTTCGATTAGTTTTCTCTACATCAAGTTTCAATCTTTCACATTCTTTGTGATCTACTTAGTCGCTTTCATCATAAAACTTGTAAATTCACCTCAACAATCTAATTACCTACTTAAAAACCCATTTGAGAACTGTTACACGATCACAAGAGATTTTTGCAGTAGAAAATCTCAAAACGGAAAGGTTCAGTCGGAAGTACACTTCACTACATATTGATAAATTTTTGGACACCACTAAGATTTCCCTTTCAATGTGAGGTAGCGTTTGAAAAAAAAGCACAGTTCAACTTGGAGCTACAAAAAAAATTGCACCTAGAAGCTAGAATGTGCCCATATGAATATAAATAATTATCATAATGGTTAGGAATCGATGATTTTTTAGCGCGAAGCTTTACCACCTGAGCTGATGACCAAAGATCCGGACCATAGGCAAATTTACCGATTCGTTCGTACATTATTCCACTCAGCTCAGTTGACTGCTGAGTGCGCTATTATAACCTTGGTAAGTGCAACTAATGCCTTCACTCTCCTTGGAACACTGTCTACATCACTCCTTCAGGTATACATAGAACGCCTGTTAAATTATGCTGAAATGGATCTATGTCCTTCGAACTGGCGAAGAGTCGTTTTGGGAGCAATTATGTTGGCGTCAAAGGTGAGTTTCCCCAAATGTCAAATCGTGCACATTTCTGAAAGATTATTCTCCCTGCAAGAGCATGTCGCTGATTTCAAAATACTCAAGATTGAGTAATTTTCTATAGATTGATCATTGTTTGGAATAACTGCATGGCAAAAACTCTCTTCTACGAGCCCTAGGAGTTTGAGACCTGGATATTTTTCAGGTTTGGGACGATCAAGCTGTATGGAACGTCGACTACTGTCAAATATTGCGAGACACCAATGTGGACGACATGTGGGTTACTTCTACCTTTACCTTTTTTTAAAAGATTTATGCGGCTGCGTGTTTCAACTTTGCTTATTCACAAAATTAATCTTTTGGGTTTTGATGGTAAACATGAAATACGAAAAAGGCATTTAAAGTTTTGAAGAGAATGCCCTGATCACATGTGAAGTTACATCAAAGGCTTCACAATAAACTTTAAATAAATCCCTCAGTATTGCTGGAGTCTCTTTTGTTTGTTCCCCGCTCCTCTCTCACTCTTTAATTTCCTCCCTATTCTTTCCCTTATCAAGAGTTGTTTTGAATTAATTAGTTGCTTTAGGAATGAACTGGAGCGACGCTTTCTCGAGTGCCTTGACTTCAACATCGAAGTACCCTCTTCTG